TTTCTAATAAGCATACAATGAAGAATTTGAATTCCAGTGATGATTTGGTTGTAAGAACGATAATACAATAAAATTATTCAAAATTCGTGTGTTGCCAGATACTTAATATTTATTTGTTTTATTATTTGTCGGATTTATTGGAATGCTGTTGAATAATCTCCCTCTCGTGAAAAATGCAAATACACGGTGTTTGCCAATGGAAAGGCAAGTAGTAAGTAGCACATGTATAATTTCGAAAAAATCATGCGTCGAGAATGCGAGAAGGTGGCCCCCTATTTGTGGATGCGCGAGTTGCAGAGATACACGAAAATAGTAAATAAGCAGCTGGAAGAAAAGGGACTATCCTGGCTAAGGAGATCGTCGACCTTGTAGAGTGCCTCGTCGATGCGACGGTCCGTGGTACCGGTAGATGGTCTTGAAAAGTATGGGGAGGGAAGGGTCGAGCAAGGATAGCCGGACATTCTGTCGGCTGATTGTGTCGGCAAGACCGAGGAGAATAAAAGAGGCGCGTCATTGGAGAAATGTCGGATTGAAAGGTCAAACGGCCGCGCGTGTACGCATGAAAATAAGATGCGACGTGAAACCGAGAAAAGGATTTGAAATGGAATTGAGATGCTGGAAAGCGAATATCGAATATGTTGAGAAGCAACGGTCAATTTTACCTTTATCGATGTTGATGCACGCTTCGAATGAATTTTGCATAAGTACGGGCATTGCTGTGCATTGTGGTGCATTGTGGTGCATTGTGGGGCATTGTGGCATATTGCGGGACATTTCGAGCGATGATGATTTGTAATACCATGCGGAAAGCCTGGATCATAGTATTTTTGTCAAATTTGTAGGTTAGGAACGAGGAACATGTAGCGGACATTCAATGTGGCTCTTAGCTTATTCAATCAATGACAATGTATTATACAAATTTAAGACTTTAGTACAAATGACGTATAAGACGCAGTTTCACTATTCGTTCGGATGCTCGAAACTTCTTTCCAAATTCAATTATTATATAGTAATAAACATTTTCTAAAATGTATTGGTTCATAGCTTTGAAATATTTAAAATTCGATATTATTATTAGAATTTAATATGCATCCTCCTAATCCGCTATTGTATATGTACACACAATTAATGTACGTAAATAAGAATTTATTTTCACGTATATTTATGCATTTATTTATGTATTTTTTGCTTTTCATGAAACTTTCATATGTATTTTATGCTAAAAAAAGGACCAAGGATTGGGATCATAATTCGGGATATTGCTGCTTATGGCCTAATCGTAAGAAACGAGATATTATAGAGTGTCTGGGCCACTTCTCCAAGTCGCTTCTCGGACTAGTGTATTTTTTTTTTATTTTTTATTTTTATTTTATAAGCCTCCATATTAATGATAAAACCATATTGCATAAAGATCGATCATAATTCACATAATAAACTCTAGGAATGCAATGGGGGAAAATAAAAAAAAAAAATTAAAAAAAGGCCTTTATCATCAATCGTGATAAAGCAAATTTATTCAAATTTCTTTTTATCAGCAAGCAGTGGCTTGCCGACAAAATATCTCGCATCTTCGGCTTATTTATCCCAATCGACATGTCATCCGCCAATGAGATAGTCACACACATACTAGATATTTGGCAATGAATACATTTTGTGCTCCTACTAATATCGGTACTGGCGATGCTGAACGACCGATCAATTCGATCAATTTTCAGTAGCGAATAGACGCGCGTGCATCGTCAAATTTTCAGAGTCGCGAATTCGCGCGTGTGAGAATGCCTACGCGCGATCTTATCAAGTAACGAATTTCCGAGACGATTTGCATCCAGCGTAATTCAATTATTGATCGTGCGTGCCTGTAATTTATTGGCCAATTGACATGCCACGAGGAGGATAGTAAAGTCCAGCGGATAGGCGCACACGTATCCGGTTCGTTGGTTCAACGCGTGTCACTGGATTCAACGCAAAATATGGAAAATTTTTCTTTTTTCTAATTGCGTCATTGTCAAGATAAAGTTCTCCACCATTTCCCATTAACGGCTAGCTTGACGCACAAACACGAATTAATGCGTAATTGGAGCGAAAATATTCAGGTTATGACTAACATGTAAATTAGTGGTCGACCGTGGCTTTCTCGCTCCACTATTTCGAATATCCGACTGAAAATTCCAAAGCCGAAGCTGGCTAATTTTCTTACATTGCCGGAGAAGTAATAATTGTCGCAACTCTCGCGGCTCGAAATGAAAAGTGGTCAGAGTCGATCAGGCTGACAGTGGAGAAAAATGGATAAACTCGCGCGTTGACAGGCTAAAGACGATGGCTGCAACGTTCGTTCCGTCCTTAACAATATCCAACGAAATCACCGACGAACGTCCTGGTGCAACGAGACCGAAGGACTCAATTTAAGGTGAGCTCATAAGGTTGTGAATTCCAGTCAATTACGCTGGAAACGAGTCGTTGCGACGGCGGCGCGCATACAAAGTCGCGTTGCCGCACCAAAAATAGAATCGTCAGCGTCAGCGCAACCAACATCGTCGATAAAAGGTGAGAGGAGCTTGGCTTTATTTTTCCGGGGACTTCGGAGCATTCGCAATCGTTAATTCCGCGCGTACACGAAACAAGGCATGCCACGTTGCGGGTCTAATCACGGCTTGCCGCTCCTCAAGTGCAACGAAACGACTGCTTCTACGCGATCGCACCGAAGGCTTAAATACTTCTTGAAATTCTTGTCACTGGTGGATCGCGTGATCCATCGGCGGATTAGTTCCGCGAAGCATCTAAAACACTTGTCCGATCCCGATCGACGTCTGTATTGTATATAATCGTGGGCATGCCGAGGAGAGCTGAGCTTATTTGGATGTTTCTTTTTTTACGGGGTGGGGGTGGGGTGGTGTGAGAGAGTAAGGGGAAAGCGGAGGAGATGGAAGTGCCCATTAAAATTTACGTCAGACTCTCGTAAGGCCCTGTAATTTCACGGTCTCCTTTTGCTGTGATTTTCGTCATTTATATTGCGCACCTTTCGGCTGCTACGGCGACTCTTGCCGTGTGTTGCTTATTCGAAAGGGGTTTGTTTACTTTTGTTATGCTCGTAAGACTTCCTTAACGAGGAAATTATTATTTTTGTCAGTGCGGCGAGCGCCGGCTTGCAAGGTCGACGACACTTTGACAAAACCGAGCAATTATAATCGCCCTGATAAATGAGAAAGAAGGAACGGGAAATTAACGTCAATTAGTAACAAGTAACACTGTCCGGGTGCTACGCACGATTTATCGAAATCTTACGTGTTTCTAGACTAACTGAATGCTTTGCTAGTGTTTTTCTATTTTCACTGTTAATACACTCCGCGACAGTAAATGATCTTTGCAATATCAAGCTTTTAAGCTTCTCACATACGAATTTAGATGATGCATTTAAACGATACATTCTAGCACAAGTAATTAGGCAAAATATCGCACACGCGTATGCACTGGCTCGTAAAAAATAAAGAGTAAAAAAATAAAAATAAATATGTTGCATACGTGTATGTGTTGATATATATATATATATATATATAAAGTAAAGAAAAAAATATATATACAACCATACGCCTATAGGTATGTACATTGATAGATCAAATATTCAACATGTATAAAAAATGATAAAAAATTTGTTTATTTTTTAATTTTTTCGTTTTTTGTTTATATATATATAGCTTATCTTAAAAGAATAGTTATGTTTGTGGTCGTATAGTTTGTAAATAATTCGATAAACTCCCGGTGCGCGATACTCGAATGACGTTTTATCCACCAGCCGTGCATCTCATCTCATACAAGCATTTTCACAAAACACGAGACGAACTTCTACAACGTAGGCGCCAAACGACGATGAGGGTTTCGATCTTTCCTTTTCTTTTGCACTTCTTTTTCGCGACCTATTCATTAGGCAGGCGGCTTTACGCAAATACGCGCGCGAATACTGAACTCTCGAGAGTAGGGCTAACCGTTGTAAGATAAAGTTTATCTCGTGACTCGAGAGAGAGATAGAGAGAGAGAGAGAGACATGGAAAATGGAAGGAAGAGAGCGACTGAGAGAGTGACAGTGGAACAGTGGTAGAGAAAGGGAGAGCAAGAGGGAATGTTTAATATCAATGAAACATTACTTGCTATTCCTGTACAAAAGATGTTTTTCGTAAGACGACAGACATACTATTTTTAACGCTTGGTGCATTACGATGAAATATTTCCATAACTGCACGGGTATTTATAACTTTAAAACGCGTTCTGAAGCTCTGCTTTATCAGAAAATATTAATTTTATTATGAAAATTAGATTGAATCACGGATTTTTAATAAATAATACATAAAATTTCTCTCGACAATAAAATACTTTTTAGGTTTATTGGAGCTTGTACATTTGCCATATTATCGCTCGTTGCACAATTTCAGCGCGTAGCATTAATGTAATTGCGATTCGCAAATTCATATATTTCACTCTTTTTCGGCTACCACGCTTTCAACACAATATTTACCTACTTTGGGATGATTTTAAGTCCGTGCTGATAAAGCACACAATTGTAAAACGATTGTAAAGGTAGGCCTAACCTACAAGCCTACTCTAACCTCAAAACTTTAAATAACATTCGTAAAACGTGGAAATCAGTTAGGCACGGCGACACGCACGTACTGAACACTCGGCTAATAATTGATCGATCGATCGATCGTTATATTACGTTCCGTCAAAGCGTCGGCTCCATTCAGAGCCCGACCGAGGACCTGGAAGAAACTGGAAAGCCGAATACGTAGAAGCATGGAGCGATCGTACTGGAGGAGCAGCAATCGATCCGACGGGAGACGACGATCGCGCGCGCTCACCGTGCGGCATCATCTCGACAATGTACCGACGGTAAAACGCGAGTCGCGCCGCTTTTGACGTCGTAATGTCGAGGTCGCGCGATTAACAGTACGCAGTAGGAAAGAGAAGAATAAAATAGAAGAAATAATAAGGAAATGGATGACACCTACCCCCCTGGGCTGCGCCATGAACGCCCTGGCCGCACCGGGGAACTCTGCGTGCTGAGCCACCGTAGCGGCTGTATTTTCCCCGGCAAAAATGACAATCGGCCTCCGCCTTTTCACTCAATAAACACCTTTTCCTAATCGCACTCTACTCGGCCTTGAGCCTCGTGCCCTTCGAGCCTCCTCGCGTCCTCTATAAACCGCTAATCTTTGTCACTGTTAAACACTCGCGTATCCCCGTACCGTCGGAACGCGATGGCTCGAACGGCTGGCTCTGTCCTGTCCACCGCCTGTGGATTTACGAAACGAGGAGCAAGTTCGTGCTCGCCTACTTCAGCGGCCCCGTCGGCCGAACGATAAACGTCAAAGTTGCCTGCTGACCCTTGGCTTGGCTTGGTTAGGCTTAATTGGGTTTGGTTTGGTTACGTTTGATTTGACTCCACTTGGCTTGGCTTGGCAGGGGTTCGTTCGGCTTGGCTTGGCTTGGGCTTGGGTTTGGGCTTGGGCTTGGGCTTGGGCTTGGGCTTGGGCTTGGACTTGGGCTTGGGCTTGGGCTTGGGCTTGGGCTTAGGCTTAGGCTCGTCTAGTCCGACGGACGTTGGCCAACTAGATTCTAAGTTGCGCTTGGACTCCGTACGGATGACCGATGATGACGTCGCGGGCTTTGCAACTGGCAGGTAGGACCTCCCGTGGACGTCAGTAAAGTAGAGCGAGGCGCCAGGATGAGGACATTGACGACGACGGTGGCGACGACTCCTGTTTCCTCATCTTCGTACCCGCTGCCGCGAGGATTTTACCTCCTCGACGATGCTCCTAGCAGAAGGACAACTCGCGCTTTAACGGCGGCTGTCTCTCATTACAGCACACCCACGTGTACAGTAGTAATCTCTCGACTGGCTAACGCGAGCTCAACAAATCACTACCGTCTGTCTATCTCTCGCACCCGGCTCTCCTCTCCGTTTCTTTTTTGCGCGCGAGCGATTCGTTTCTCTTCTTCCTTGCTATCCCTCTTTCTCTATCCAGTTGGGTTGCCAGGGCTCGAATCAGCCCGTTCTCCTTATCATTTTCTATTTGTCTTGTATTAAAATGCGATTGCGCGTACGCGTGTTTAATCCTCTTCACTCTTTTATTATATCCTCGTTATTTACACGGCGCACTGGCAAAACTCGTCGTGCTACGTGCGACCTTATTCGACTAAAGCACCTCGAGATAAAGCACACGAACAGCAGTGCGAGCTTTAACTCCGTATTCTTCCTCTTCAACAACAACTACTGTTACTTCTACTGCTAGTGCTACCGCTACTATTGGTACTACTATTCCTACTATAATAATTATTATTATTAATATTATTATTATTATTATTATTATTATTATTATTATTATTATTATTATTATTATTGTAGTAGTTGTTGTTGTTGTTGTCTTGTTGTTGTTGTTGTGGTTATTGTTATAATAATTATAATTATAATTATTATTATTGTAATTATAATATTATTACATCGATGACTACGACAACGATGATGATGACACACACGTCACTTGCGTCTCGACGAACGATCGACGGCTTGTTGCACGCGGGCGCGCGGTCACGGCTGAGCGAGGACAGAGAGGCGGACCACCACCGAGGGATCGAGGGACTCGCGTGGCCGGCTTCCCTCGGGCTACGCACACTGCGCTTAAGTCGCGCGAATCAGTGTACGGCCAAGCAGTTATTCCTCTCTGTCTTTCTGTCTGTCTGTCTCTCTCTCTCTCTCTCTCTCTCGCTCTCGCTCTCCTGCTTTCCGTTTCCTATGCCTTAATCCTGCAGGCCGATTTTCCGCTCTTACGCCAAGATTGCAGAAAGAAAAACAGAATGAGCGTAAGGGTGGCGCGAGATTAGCTTCTTTCCCCGGGTGGCTCGTGCGCGACCGAGGAGTCAGAGGGGAAAAAAGCTCGCCGGTGATGAGGATGGAGACAGGTCTAACGAGCAGCTCGTACGCGTACGACGACAATAGTCTCGGTGATGGTGATGATGACGACGATGACGACGATGATGACGATGTTGACGACGACGACGACGACGACGACGACGACGGCGACGACGGCACACCGACCGGGCCGTGGCTTATCTAAAGCGAGCGAACGGTTTGAGGGTCCTGCGCCGTCCGCAGTCGTTCGCTAACTGTCAATCAGCGCGAGCAACCGCGTTCGGGAGTGGGAGGTGCACCCGCCACGCCTCGGAGCCTCTCGCCAATCGTGACCAAGTCCGCCCACCGACCCTGGCGCCACGACGGCCAGCCAACGAATCAAAGGCCTCCGCCATCGCGAGGCCCCCAATCTCCCTCTCGCTCCCACTCCTGTGCTAGCATCTTCTTCTCTCGCTTCCACTCTTGCTCTCTCGCACCCTCTTTCTCTCTCGGGCGTGCGCGCGCGCGCTGGCCCGGCTTCCTTCTTCCCTCGACACGAGCGCGAGCCGAACGAACGAGAGCGCGAACGAGAGAGGGAGAGCGACAACGCGAGCGAGTGCGAGAGAGAGAGAGAGAGAGAGAGAGAGAGAGAGAGGCGAACACGAACGAGCCGGCAAAGGCAACGGTGGCGCCGTCTGGCAGGGATCCCAGGCACCATTCCCAGCCGATACTCGCCTCCTCGTCGCACCCGCGAACCATCCCTTCCTCCTACTCCTTACCGCACCTCCACACCCTATCAAACCCCAACCCCAACCCCAATAAACCCCAGTAACCCTAACTCGTTCTCACTTCCTCTCGCTCTCTCGCCAACGCGTAATCTCACACCCTCTCAGCCCCTCATTCCCCACCCGGTGCTCGTAGAATCATCAACCAACGTGCCAACAGAACCGAGAGCAGCACTAGCAGCAGCAACAGCAGCAGCGACAACGGCAAAGGCACCAACAGCACCAGCACCATCAACGTCAGCAGCCGCCGATGATGTGCTTCTGTCCCCCAACTCCCTTCACCGGCCCTTCCCTCCTCAGCTACTTCATCATCATCCTAATCCGCCTCCTTCACCCCTCAGCAACGTGTCTCTATACACGTCGTCGAGACGGGCACACGTGTTTTCCTCCAGTCGTCGCCTCTCGCTCTCTTTTGTCCATCGCATCCGAGTCCCGCTTTCGCTTGCCACACCGCTTCCTCGGCCGAGCGAGCACCAGGAGCTCGGGAAAGTACCTTCGCATAGCTCTGCTCCAATGATTTCGTTGGCCTCTCCACGGGCCTTCTACACGCCTACGACATCCATGAACACCGTCATTTTCCGTCCCGCAGGCAGCCTATACGTGCGCTTAATCCTATTTTTTGTTTTATTTTTGTTCTCATTTCTTATCGTTCTCGTTATGATTCTTGATTCATTCGATAGGAAGCGGTTCGGCCAAAGCGACCGATGGGCATATCTGCTCTGGATTGCTCAGGCCCCCCGAGGACTCCGAGATTGTGCCACTAAAGCGGCGGGATCGTGGATCGGGTAGGCCGAGACGGATTCCGAGGCCGAAAGAGAGTCAATTATATGTACGAAAAGTCGCGGTCGTGTGTATTGGATCGGTTGACGCAGCTTTCGAGGGTGCGGGCGAACAGCTGATTGCGGCGGCGGCGGCGGCCGACGAGGAGGAATTAGGTCGCGAACGTGTGGCTGCTTCGGGCTTTAAACGGTATCGAGGGGGTGTGGTGTGGGGTCGGTGCCCCGGGTGAGTAATAGCGCTATCGCACCCGAGTCGACGGTCTGACACGGGGGAGGACCGGGGCGGCTGTCACGGACATCACTAAGGTCGGCTGCCGCACCCACGTCCGATTTTATGACTCGCGTTTCGTTTCGCGTAGCGGTGGCGCTGTCCGTGTTGTTGGCAGTGGCGTTAGCGATGCTGGTGATGCCGGTGATGGTGGTGGCGGTGACGGTGGCGTCGACGGCGGCGCCCGAGGGAAAGGGAATACGCGCGGGGCTCGCCGAGGGCGGTCCAATTTTGGCCTTGAAGATCGCTCTCGTTCGACGTGCTGCGCGAGCCGGCCACAGCTGATAACGTCGTTGCGCTCCCTACGATTATGAAGTACCCATGTCCAAACTTGCTATTCCGCGGCGAATCCTCTCGGCCTCGAACACGCTCTGCCCCTCTCCTATGCCGTCGCTCTTGTTCCGACGGTCTTGTTGCTGGTCGGGCATAGTCGGCTGTTAGCCGCGACACTAGGACAGCAACGTCGTCCGCTCGGAACGCGTCCGATCGTGGCTTTGCCTCTTCCTTTAGAGTGTAGTATAGCGCGTCCTGCTTGTCGGCGAAATGGATCGTGAGGAGGCGGGGCGATGTGGGGATGAGGAGCGGGTGCCATCAGCCTCGAGGCTCGTTTTAAAATGTAACTTAAGTAACTCGAGGCCTGTAAACAAAGATTAACTTCGTTTTATTTCAAGCGTTGTTACGAACGATGTCCGGATGCACTTAATTTAGCGCCACCAGTATTGTTCGTGTGGGAAGAGCAGTAAGCTTTTCACACTTTCTTATATCAGCAGTGGCCATAAGCGTCGCGTGGCACGGCTAAAATATGAAGGCCCATTACCGGGCCCGTAAAATCGGCAAATGAGCAATAAATATCGAAGTTAGTCGAAGATCGAGCCGGGGCCCCATGAGTTTATAAATGTCGACTTCACGACGCATGTTTCGGCAGGTAAATCCCTGGACAATAAGCGTTACCTAATTCCATTAAGTTAGATGGGAGGGCTGCTGCTGCGGCGCGTCCCGGCCGTCGGTGTCCACGGGCCGAGATAATACGTGAGCGTCCGCGCCGCATTGTCGTCTACTACTTGGCTGGGACCTTAAAGCCCGTTCACCTCTAGCCCCGGTTGTTTCGCAGTAAATCACCTCTCGAGCCCGCACCGCGCGCCCATCGGCTTTTCCCCATGCATCCCTGGTGAGAAGGGGGAATGAGGAGCGGGGGAGGAGCTTAACCTTTCCGGCGGCCCGACGTCACTCAAAATTTTCCCTTCCAGGAGCGGCCAAGACGGCCTATGCGGATTTGTCGCAATGGTTGGCCGAGCAACGATGCCGCCTTTGACTTTTCGAGTCCACGTCGAATCGCGTATCGAGTCCTCCCGACGGCCGGTTGCGTAATCTTACCGCCGATTGTACCCGAACCCCCTCCCCCTTTTCCCGTCAACCACCTCGTCATCCACCTCCTCCCATCACCCATCACCCTTCGCCCATCATCCTTCACCCATCCCCCATCCCCACCCATCATCACCATCCCCGAGCCTCGTCTCCGAACCTTCCCAATGCAGCAGTACCAGCTCTGTCTCTCAGTCTCTCTCTCTCTCTCTCTCTCTGTCTCGAAAAAATTTACTAGAACGCGGCTGCTCTTTTTTTTCGTTTTCGTTAGCGATTAATTCCCCAGCAATAATGAGCGTATCTTACATATCACAATGGTTTGCCCGAGTCGGTGTTCTTAGACGGACGACTTTTCGCAATATTTTCTCTCATTACTGTATCACAATTTAATAAATCGGCTTCGCCTTAGTTACTTATTTTTTCGTG